TGTTGCTGACTGCCTCCCGAGAGGCAGCATGATTGCGACGAGGGATGGAGTTGCTGGAATCCACAAAAGCATTTTCATAGCATGGGCTTCTTTGTTTGTGGAGGAATTGAGGTTAACGGCAGGGAGTACGAAGCTGCTGCTTCTTTATGAGGCATACAGAATTCACATGAGTTTCGAAGCACTTTCGATTCTTGACCGTGGGGGAATAATTGCCTACGCCATTCCTGCCCACACTAGTGGTGCCACGCAGCCGCTGGATGTGGGGACTTTTGGGTCCTTCAAGCAACGCGTCAATGAGGTTCTTCGAAACGTGTCATTTGCTACTAGAGATAATGCTTTGGATGTCTTCGACATCTGTAACGTAATGCGAGAGGCATATCAGGAAACTTTCATACCTCATATTATCAAGGGTAGTTTCGAAAAGTCCGGCGTGTGTCCATTCGATCGCTCAAAAGTTATTGGAATACCTCGACCACTGTCCAGTAAGTTTCCATCTAGCATTGCATCTGTGGAGGAAATGAAGTGCATGCTAAATGAAAAGCGCGAAGCCTTCCGCCAAAATGCGTTCATACAACCTGTATTTTTGAAGAGAGGTTTTGTTGATACAGCAGCAGGATGTGTGCTGACTAGTGCACCAGCTGTCGAATTGGTGGCTGGAAAGGAAGCAGCCGAGAGAAGGAAATCGTTGTGTGCACGACGCAAGGAGGATGCCAGGGAGGAGTTTTCCGTACAGTCCATAGCGTGTAGAAGAGACAGGGAGGCGTACGAACATCGAATGATGTTTTATCGTGCTGCAGCTTATAATGCGCCGTTAAACATGCCTCGGAGTCTACAGTTGCGTCGCAAGCTAACTAGGCAGCGGGCAATTGTGAACAAGGCCTTGGCGAATGGCACTGAATCGCTGACCGATGAGCAGATAGTCACAGCGCCATGGAATGAGTTGTCTTGTGATCAGTTCGAGTCGGAGTCCTTCGGAGGACAATGAGCAATTTGACCGTTGGACATGTTTCAAAAAAGCTTTCAAAAATTTTATGGTATGATTGTCAATGGTACCAGTATTAGGTGCTGTTGAGCAGATATTTGTGTTTTGGCCTTGGGAAGCGCTTTGTTCACTGCTTCGAAACGGCGGGTTTTCCTTTTTTGGCGCAACGCACACAAATAAAAGCAGTTGTTAGCTTTCCAGCCACGTCGAAATTCTGAGCATTGCATAAAGATAGCCTATTTTTCATTTATATTTCTGAAACTGTTCCATTCATAGGGGCACCCCCGTGTAAATGTATCCAGGAGCCGGTCCACGTGTGATCCTGAGATCTCATCAAGCGCCTTATCCGAAGTGGCGCACGAAAGCGATTAGTGTCGCCCGGGATAGATACTGTACAGATGAAAGTTCGTTACCACGTATCTCTGCACTGCATTAAAGGCAGTGCGGAGATACGTAGTATCAAATTTTGATGCTGGAGCCACAAACGGCGTTTTGGGAGGTGCTCCAAAACCCTCAAGTGCTCCCCGATGATGCAATGCTCAGCAGTAACAGAATCACTTTGCACGGCAAGAGTCCAAAGGTGGACCAAATCAGATTGTGGAAGTAGCAAGCTCTAGGAGTCGTATTTAAGTAAGAAGGAAAGAAGTCATTCCCTCTTCCATTTGGCCAGGAACACAAGATTCCTGTTCGCCAGGGTGTCGAAAACGTAAAGATCTGTATGAGGGGAAGGGCCACTCAATCCCTGTGGTCAAAAGGTGGGCACCAGACCGCGCCAATTGACTTTTTCAAGTGATGGCAGATATTCCGACGGTGTGGAAGCATGGACTGGAATCACCACATGGCGGGACTGGAAGTGTTGCAAGACTCCAGGCGGGACACGCAGTACACGTGTGAGAGGGGAGAACCTGGGGACTGACACGGGTGTCGCCGGCAGCCTCCGACCTTGGAGGCGGTCTTCGGCGCTCACCCTGGCGCTGGATAGCGGATTTTCGCCGAGGAAACTGAGCCAATTGGAGGTGACGAACCGTGCAATGACTTGCAATATTGGGCTGCAACGCAAGACGACTGTGTACTCTCCCGCGCGGTCGGGCGCCTACACGCTCAGGGGCCTACGGTACACGTACGGCGAATAGCGTCGGTGGCGGGGAGCGAATGAAGTGGAAGAATAAGTGAGGATTATGTGCACGGTGTCGTTTACCACGACGGGCGAGGGGTTTGACCTGAAGGGTGCGACGACGGCGGAGGGAAGAGGACCGGGGGGGGAAAGTCTGTAGGCGAAAAAAGGGCAAGGCAGCTACCCTACCCACCTACACCTACACCTACCCTACCTACGAAGGGTAACGGTACCTGCCTGGGCACTCGTTATACTCTGTTTGGGTGAAGTGTACAGTAGAGGGAAGGGACGGAGGGAAAGGGTGTGTTCAAGGCGGGAGCGGTGGAAGCATGTGTGGGGGCGGGATTGGGTGAGATGCGGGGAGATGCGGGAGGGGGCGCTGCTGTCTGCGACGGATACGGGCGGATAGGAGCACAATCAATCAAAGTTCGGTGGCGGGGGGGGAGGGGGTGGAGGCGGTTTGATCATCATGAGAGACGGCGTGACATGGCGGGCGAACAGGCGGCGGGAGCAGGGAGGGAGCTTTTTGCGATGACGTGCGTGAATGTTGAATGTTAAATTCCAGAGTCTAATTTCGCGCACGAGTGGAGGGAGCTGGGCGGACGCCGGTGGGGACGCGGGGACGCCGGCGGCGGCACGAACGAGAAAGCAAGGCGGCGTGACATATCTCATTTCCAGACGATGCCCGTCACGCAGCGGCGCCGTTGCAGAGTCAGTTTGCCAAACAGCCTCCGCGATCACGCGGCACGTAGCGGGCCGTGGAGGGTGCGCCGCGCCGCGCGTGGCCGCGCGCATGCCGGGCCCGCCCTCGTGTGTGGCGCGGCGGTGTCAGGACGGCGGCGGGGGATATGTATCTCGGCGTCGAGGAATTGCCGCCACCAGCTTGGCGACGCATCGCCAACCTTTAAACGCCGCGCCACCACACGAGCACGCCGCCCGCGTCACACGCGCGACCCTCGCGACACTGCCGCTTTGTTGGTTTCTTCATGCCTCGCGAGGGGCCACGCTTGGCGCCCGCCGCCGCGCGCGGCCGCGTCGAGCGCGACGTGCTCGACCTTCGGACACGCTTGCGCCACCCGCTTGCGACGTCGCTGCCGCCGATCACACCCCTGGCGCTGGCAGAGCGCGTCCGCCGGCAGCGGTGTTGCAACAAGTGCGGCAGACGCGCTGGCGCCGCGCCGCGCACAGGAAACGCATAGCCGTTAATGCCTGCAACTTTTTGTAAGCCGTGGCTCGCCGTGTGTTGCGCGTTCCGGGCCCTTTCGCGAGCGCGTATCAGACGCGATACAGCGCCGCCTGCAGATTGCTTGCAGCAGCGCGGTGACGATCGGTGGTCATGGCGCGAGTGGCCAGCGCGGCGCCAACTGATGGTTGGGCGCGCGCGTGCGCCGGCAAGTGCCTTGCTGTGGGCGGCGTCTCGCGAAGGTAAAAAATTACAAAATTCCTCGGCTCTTTTTTCTGTAATCCGCGGCAAGTGGGCGCGCCGCGCGCGCGGAAAGATGTTTTTCCTGGCGCGAGCAACCGCCCGCCCGCTTTCCACAACCGCTTGTTCCGCTGGCGGTGTCGCATGCCGGGGGCGTCAATCACAGCATCTCCCGGCGTCCTCGCGTGACTAGGGCGAGTCCGTCACGAATTACGCGATCTCCCCCGCGACATGTCCACCGCCGCGCCA